ACTTCACATTTTTACTCAGGTGCCTGAGATCGGTGAACACCTCCCATGCATAGTCTTCGAAAATCAACTCTAAGTCCAATAGCTTTGGACTGGCCATGACACGGAAATGATGCCGACGTTGGCCTTCCTCACCTAATACTAGTCCTTTTCTTCAAGCCGTACAAACTATGCTTCTTCCAAGAAGGTGGCATCGGCGCTTTCGTCAGCCTCGCATAAAATCGCTTACGTCGCTCTTGGTGCTCGTGAGTCAGCAGCTTCATGCTACGCTTATTACAGCTAACGTCATGATTCATGTGGAAATCGATACCGCGCTAACATAGCCCTCGCAGTCGATCAACAGCTGTCACATCCAAATCAATATCGTCATGCTACACCCTTACTCGAACTAATACCCGGGGTAACAAAGGGCCTTCCAGCATGAATTTGCAAATTTTCTTCTAATCAGCAATTATTTGTTTTCACTGATTAATCCGTAGTTTTATTGACAAGTTTTGTATTGATTAATATATTATACTTCTTCAATGTTTAATATTGCATTGATTTATTCGAGCTGTTGACATAAATCCGCCGTTTCCAGTTCTAGGCCTGTATGAAAAAGGAGGAGGGTTGCAGACCATGGCGAGATTTATGATAAAACAGCCATCTGCCCCTCACCGTATTCCTGTTACCAAACGTTATTCCGGCTCGGTTGTCGCTCGCGTTACTAAGAGCGGCACAGACTATTGCAGAATTGAGGCATACAGCGAAAAGTCATCGATCAGAACTTGCATCACACCCTTTGATATCTACGGGCGTAGTAGCACCATGACGGCTGCAAAAAATGGAGACAAGGATGAGGAAATTATCAGTCAACAACCGAGTCCATGGCTTTTCTGAACAAAGGAGTCAGACAACGTGCTGTCATTATAGCACGCCAGATAAGATTCCAGAGGAACAATACTAACAGTCAAAAGTTGGATCATCTCCTCACCCAGAGGGAAAGAGCAGGAGTTCGTTGATGAAGCCGAAAGGCATTAACTTGACATGACTGACCTCTCGTAAATAAAGCGTCAGAGCTCTAGAATTCTGAACCTCTGAAGGTGGAAGAAATTATACTCAGCTGTCGAATCATCGACACGCGCTAAGGCCGGAATTATTATTTTGTTAGAACCCATGCTGGCTGACAGAATCATTGAATGGAAGCCTGTGGACATAAGAGTGGCAATCATTCTACTGAAATTACGAGTTGGTAAATGTTCTGCAAATGCATTCAACTTGTTAAGGTTAAGGTAAACGCGGCAAATTTAGAGGGAGAATAAAAGCCCTTTTTAAAGAAAGTAGAATGTACTGTGTACAAAGTACGACAATGGAATCCATCATTTCGATGGGCGATTTCAATGTGCACACATCCAGTGGTGGAAAGCCTTGACTGGAGAAAATGGTCACTGATCAATAATGACGTAATCAAGGTTTCTCACGTTCTGTAACGGTTTGCGTTAAGAAAGACCAATACCCCTCAACCAGTTATCGCCTCGTTGTTGGCACCCTCAACTGTAAACGATGAAGTACACGAAGACCTGGTGGCAGAAACAACCAGAGAATCAAATGGGAAGCATTGTCTTCTGCGGATATGAGGGCTAAGCTTGCACACAACAACGGACGCTGGGTTGAACAAATATCAGTGATGACCGCTGATGAGGAAATCAACTGAAATCTATTTGCTAACGGTTATTGTCAAAAAATGCGGTTTAAAACGGGTTGGAATATCCCATGGAGATTAGAAACAAAGTTCTCGGTGGACACAAGAGGTTCAACTGGCCGCATTCAAGAGATGGTGCGAAAGACAATCTACCCTCAACACGAATACAGTACGAAAAAAACGGGTTTGGCCAGTGAGGTGCTAGTCGAATTTCTAGACGACAAAAAAGATAATGAGGACATCTTTGGCAATGTAGAGAGTACTTCGGGGAATTCTGTTACCTCGAGCAAGCGCAGGAAGAGTCGTCTCCAGAGCAGCATGGAACGTATATTAGTATTTGAATGGTTTAGTTCATTTTAGAAGTCGCAGACGCGGAAAAAGGGTTGAAAAGTGGTAAGGCTGCTGGGGTAGATGAAATCCGTCCTGAAATGCTTAAAGCTTTATGCCAGAAAAACATAGTATCCAACACGTGTATCAAACTGCAATTGTTAGGGGAAGACACCGGCGGACTGGAAAAGGGGGACATTACTGTATTCAACGTTTCGGGAAAAGTTGAAGGAAATAATTTAGTGTAAGATGTAAAAGCAGTTCAGCTTCAGGCCAGGCCGAAGTATCTCG